CAATTATTCGTTCTAACTGTTATAAATTACTGCAGGCTGCACGAATTAGGTACAATAACAAACTGTTATTCCTTACGCTTAAAATGAATTTAAATCGTACATCAACTTTTATAACCATTTATTTGTTTAAGTATTATATAACTTTTTATTTATTCGTTTTGAATGTAATAACTTAGGTAAGCAATTATTGGTTCTGTTATAAAACGTGTATAACCAATTATTCGTTCTAAATGTAATAAATTAATACAAGCTGCAAGAATTAGGTATAATAACTACGTGTTAAACCTTATGCCTATAACGATTTTAAATCGTACGTCAACTTTATAACCAATTATTAGTTTTAAGTATTATATAACATTCATAGACAATTATTTGTTTTAAGTAATTTTAACTTTTGTTACAAAAGTACAATTATTTGTTTTAAGTAATTTTAACTTTTGTAACTAATTATTCATTCTAACTGTTATAAATTACTGCAACCTGCAAGAATTAGGTACAATAACTAACTATTATTCCTCATAGCTATAATGATCTTAAATCACACATCAACTTTTATAACCAATTATTAGTTTTAAGCATTATATAACATTTATAGCCAATTATTCGTTCTAAGTGTAATAACTTTTGTATACAATTATTCGTTTTAACTGTTATAAAATTTGTATAACTAATTATTCGTTCTGTTCTAAAATATGGTACTTACGTATTATCGCAACCAGGTTGGCGCGATTTGTAAGTTTGAGTAAAAAAGTATGAATAGAAAGAAAATGTACATTTATTAATTACAGATAATTTTTAATACAGTTTTTTATATTATTTTGTTTTAAAATATAAAATAGCAATTAAACCCTTCCGGTTTCGAATTTGAATAAGTTGCAGAATTATTTTTTTGGCAGAAATCTTTTGGCTATTGCTTTTAGCACTGATTGAAAACCATCTTCGCCATTAACAGCTTGAGCTTGGCGCCATATAAATTCCATAAGGTATGAGTCAAGATGATGACGGGCTGTTCCTCTCTGTTTTTTGCTGCGCCATTTCGCTGAGCCCCACATGCGCTCTACATGTTGTGTGTGAACGCCCGTGTTGGGATCCACAAAGTTATATTTGTGATTAACAGTTCCATGCAGAAATCCAGCATTTTCGAACTCACTTGTATTGTACCCTTTCCAGCAATCCGAATAAATGATGCTTCCTTCCTTGATATTCTCTCAAATTTTTTCCATGAAGGTAACGGCGCTTCTGTTAGATACAGTAACCAAAAAAGTAATTAAAGTATTTCAGGGTATTGAATCTAACCAGTAAGAAAAATAATTTCTTTACGAAAAACTACGTATAACACGTAGGGTTGCCGTAAGTAGGGTCGCCAAATTTGGCGATTTATGCGAATTTTGACTTGGTTGCGTTAACACGTAAGTACCTGAAATATTTATAACCAATCATTCGTTCTAATTGTTATATATTCATAATTAAATTAATTAATTATTTGTTCTATTATATAAATTTTATAACCAATTTTATTCATTCTAAGTATTATACATTAGCTACTAACTCTAACAATTATTACTTGTTATATCCATGTTAAACCTATACACCCTAAATATCTTTAAGAATCTGAAGATATTTTAGGTGTTATAATTTAGATCCAACAGCCATCTAGTTCAAGTTTTACAGTATTCAAAAGATACATATTTTGAATTCTAAAATAATAATAAAATTTGCCAAAATATGGGCCCCCTAACTTAACAGCACTGCTGTATCTAACAGCTTAAGAAATACTTCGTCTTCAATGTTAAAATTTAAAAATAAGCCAAGTCGGATTGGCAATATCTTCCAAATTCCGAAGCATTCTGCTTGCCTTACATATTTACCCATCTTTAATTTGAATATTTATCTCCATCGTTTGATTCTCATTATCTTCTGCAGACTGGCTTTACAATATATCTACCCCATTCTTATTCTAATTTCAGTATTCTATTTCTCTTCCTGTTTACACAGAAAGCCGATGTTTTCCACATGTAATTTGGCATCATCTTAGTTCCTGGTTTATTTAGTCTTACTCATCCGCCATTTTGAAATACATTTTTTTTTTCACCCACATACTTTAACAACTTTCACTTTTTTAATTTAAAATTCCCAGATGTATATTTAATTCCACAGTTCTCCCATGTTTGTTGCTGTCTATTAAGTTACACGTTATAAGAAGAGCATCAAAATAGGAATAGCGAACTAACGTTGACATTAACATACTATTTCCCTTGGAAAAACAAAAGGAAATATGACGGAGTAAGTGCAGATGTCATACCAACAACAATTCTTGGAACAGCTGAGATTCCCAGTCGTTAGGGTAAATGTCGATCCCTGAAGACCGATTGTCTTGCCAAACGAACTCATTCTGAGGTTGATTCGAGATCATTTGGTTAATGTAATGATCCTATTATAGCAATGAACTTTTATTCTTCTATTTTTCAACTAAGCTTTAGTTATTCTGGCGTAATATTATTATTATCCAGGATGACGTTTTTGTGAAAAGAGAATTTCTTTACAATGGCAAAATATTTTTACAGCGTTTCTGTAAAATAAATATATGATTCAGAATGAATGTTCCCAAATTTTTAAAAAAGCAGTTTTAATCATACTTTTATGTCCGTAGTATGGTTCCAAAGTTAAATTAATTTCTTAGATTTGAATGAGGTGATAAAAGATAAAGTGACTAAGCTTTCATTTCACGTTTAATAATAGTGTGATCATTTAATTCATTCATTAGCATTCATTCATTATTTGAGTGTATTAGGTACACAGTCACGTGATTAGTGTTAAGGCTGTTATAGAACTAGGTTTTTCTTTCTCCTGCTGCGAAGATTTGGGCTCTTGTATTGCTTTTCCTTTTTATAATATTTTGATTATTTTTTATATTCCTTGTTCTCTCTCTGTGTATTTTTTATGCCTAAAGTATTTTGCATTGTTACTGTCTGTTGCCATTAGGAAAAACGTAAGATATCATTATTTCATACATAATGTCTGTTATTAACAAATTAAATTATTTAAAAGCAATAAATGAATATTTTAAGAATTTTTTCTTACTTTTTAATTTGATTGTTTTAAATAAAATGCATTTACTTCATGATAAATCTAATAATTTATTTATTTTAATAAGCAAGGGACATTTTAAAGGGTTATATTTTGAACATATATTATTATCACGTTAACATAGATATATGGGGAAGATTTTCGATACGTAATGGGACATACCCGTCTGTATTTCAATTTTAAATTATACGGCTAATTACTTCTCTGCTCAAAAGACAGATGCACAGAAGTCATAACGCAAAGAACTACGTAAAAGCTTTTGCAGCATCAATTCATAAAAATATTTCGAATATTTATTTAAACCTATACCGCTGGACAAGTAAACTAGTTAAACAGGAAATCGCAGATGCGCTAAATAAGGATGACCTCTAACACAGCTGTAAATTAACTTATCGAAATACATTCAACAGATATCGGTATCTTAATGAATGAAAATCGCAATCCATTCATTAAGGAAAACAAAGATGTTTTGTTATATCAGCTAACAAAGATGATTTTTCTTTACACGTAGAATGGACAGTCGGAATTAAAGCTGATTTGACACAGCTGTAAAACAAGTGAATGAAATGTTTAAACACCGCTTGAAAAAAATCCGCAAATGACATTTTGCAAAGATGTTACTCCTACAATATACTGACACCAGTTTTAGCTTTTGGAATGATTAATATATATATATATGACAAAAATATAAAATCTGAGAGTTTTCAGATTTTATATGACAGCCAAATGTGCGCTTATATATATATATATATATACACACACACACATACACACTTCGAGAGCATTTGCGCTAATGTCCCTTTGGTCTAAAAATATTTAAAAACAGCATATCTTTAGAATTTCCGATAGAGAGTCTCTCGCGCTGGAGATAAAATATTTTCTTTTTATATAATGTTGCCAACGCTCGCTTCAAAATCGTTGAGTTTCTTAATCAAAATTTCATTAAAGGTTTACAAAATGTGAAATATAAAATTCAAAATTCAGGTTTCCAAATGCACATGATCGGATGGAGGACTATGTTATGACCGACATATTCGGACCGACACGAAATGTCAAGATTAATAGCCCTTTTGGGTTAATGCCCCTTTGGGCTATTAAAAAAAGTATGAAAGGTTTTGGACTTTAACGGTCGCCCAAAAGGACTTGTTTTTAACGCTCTCGCTGAGCTCTCAGTCTACCAGTTTGCTGTTACATTCACTCCTACCAACCAACCCCCTTTTGAGATTTATTATTAAGCATCATTGCCTTCGCACTTACGCCATACGCAGTTCAACAGCAAAATTACAAAAAGTTTAAAAGCAGCTTAGCAATATACGTTTCGAATTTGCAAGATTTTGGCATACCCCCTCCTAGTCTCTTATCACTGCATCATATCAGTGTTCAGTTTTCATACTAATATGGCTTTACAAAACTTTTTTCTACCTTTTTATTATTTACATTTTGCCTGTCTACTTTATGTATTAAATATCACGGATGTGCTTACGCCACATAAAAATTCGACTTAAACGTGTGTTTACGCCACATTACATTCGACTCAACAGCAAAATCACAAAATATTAAAAGCAGCATAAACGCCACACAACAGGCGTCATATCTGCAGTTTCTTGGCGCTTACGCCACGTAAAATTCGACTCAACAGCAAAATCACAAAATATTTAAAAATAGTACAAAAGGCACAACAGCAGGCGTCATATCTGCAGTTTCTTCGCGCTCACGCCACATAAAATTCGACTCAACAGCAAAATCACAAAATATTTAAAAATAGTATAAACGACACAACAACAGACGTCATATCTGCAGTTTCTTGGCGCTTACGCCACTTAAAATTCGACTCAACAACAAAATCACAAAATATTTTATGCACTTAGATCAGATAATAAAATTAGATAATTGATAATGTTCGTGATACTTACCTAATAAAGAAAAGGCAACACCGCTACGGTCAAACTTCTGCACAAGTTGAAAATATAGGTCCAACCCTAAAAAAGATTTAAAAAAAAATTAAAATACTATTTACATACACTCAATAATTACAGATAATATTTAATACGGAAATTTTCAAACATCTATACACTGCTTACATTAGCTGTAACCATTTTTTAAGAACTCGTTTCATAACAAAAAATTTAATCTATAATAATGTAACTTCCATGCATTAAAAAACAATTATTAAGCAATTTATCATTATTAATTATTTAGTTATTTAATTATTATAATAAATTATTGTTAATTAATTAGTTGTTTAATTATTATTACTAAATTGTTAATATTAATTAATTAGTTGTTTAATTATAATTAATAAATGTTGTTAATTAATAGTTTTAATTATTAATAATTATTATTAATAATTATTGTTGTTTATTAATAAAATTGATTTTTAATAATTACTTTATTGTTATTTTATTATTAATAATAATTATTATTTATTAATTTCATGTATTAAATAATTTAATAGTAAAACATATGCAATTATGAAACGTGAATGTGCAGATCTACAGAAAGCATGTGAACACGTACTTTACACCGATAAGTAAACTTTAAAGCCATTAATATGCACAAGAAAATTTCAGAAAGTAATACTGAAATTTCATTTATATTTCTAAATAAATAAAATTAAAAAAGGAGCAGGTAGTTTTAAAGTTTAAATAATAACTTTTCAGTCAAACGAAAGTGCAAGCCCTATGATATGACTCACATTAATATAAAGCCTCATAAATAACTTTACTTTTTTTTTAAATTTTATTTAAGTATTTATTTGTTTATTTATATTATATTTACATTAAACAAAATTAAGTTACTAATTTAATCTCTCCTTTTCTGCACTTTTATATAACTTGGTAGTACAGATGTAAGTTCGACATATGTAATTTTAACATTAATTTGTAATTTGCTTTGTTTCTCTGAATTCAGTTTTTAATTAAAATAAATAAATAAACACCTCTTGTAATTGATTGCCTAGATTATATATTTCACAACTACCAGTTATTTACTAATTTTTCCGGAACTAAAATTTAAAAGTCTCCGCAGGACTTCTTTATATGGCCAACTAAATTATATACATTTTTGCTGCACTTTATTTAAACTTATTTCCCCGAATTTCATTACAGATATATTTCTCATTCAATTAATTCAGTTCTCAGTTCGAGGCAACGCAAAAATGGGAAAAAAAAAAAAAAAAAAAAACTCAAAACATCTTCATTAAAAAATTGTAAAATACAGAAAAACATAAAACACCACATACAGTTAAAAACGATTAAAAAACAATAATATTTGCAATTACAATTAGAATTTCTACACCAAACCAAGCAGTTTGACTAACAGGAGGGAAGACAAAATTTTAGTTATGCAAATTGAAAGTTAATTTTTGGGCCCGCAGGGCAAAAGACACCAAAGTTGGTGCACCAATCAACTTAATTCACTATTCTACTAAGAGTTTCAAATGCAAACAAATGGCGTCCTCGTTAGCCCTAGAGTCACTTAAAGTTTTAAACTCCTAATAATTCTGCATCTATTACATGCAGATTAACTAAAAGCATAAAAGCCTTTACTGGAACATAAGAACAACATAATTCAACCACTTTTAAAATAAAAAACGCGAAATTTATCAACATATAAGAATAAAAATACTGAGCTCACCTAGCCGAGTAACAAGGATGGGAATATATGTATAAGCACATATGTTTGCTGCGGGCTACTGCAACGAAAAGGGGAGGTGCACAACTGCATGTTATAGCAGTGAACAAAATTTCTTCTGAATCCCTTTTAAAACTATTTTACAATCCCTTTTGGAGGCTACACCTTTTTGAGATACATATATACGTACGTACGAACAGACGGTCACGAAAAAATCTCTTTTGAATCCATTTAGCAATCCGCTTGGGGGAAAAGAGTCTTTTAATCTGCTCGTACGTATAAATGGCACGTAAAAGTATGATTCAAATGGATTCGAGAACAGTCAAAATGGATATTTTCCTTAAAACATAATACACGAAATTCTTCGCGATTACAATACTTCCTTACTTCATACAAGGAAGTAAAAAAAAAGAGCAGCGCAAAAATTAAAAAATAAACAAATTAATTTTAAAAAAATTAAGCTGTGCCTGCTTACCATCCACATCTTCCAGAAAATTGTTTTTTAAAAAATTACAGTTTGAAGAACGTCGTGAACACTTAACAAACATATCTTCACAAAAATTCAAACGACTGATTACAAATCAACCAATTTCAGTGTTCTAGAACTTAAGCATTGTCAAGGATTTGTACAAACGACTTCAGGAAGTCGTGAACAACCATCAAGCCACGCCCTTATTATTTAAGAACGAACAACAAACCAACCGGATAAATGAAACTCTAATAAATACTAATGCTTCTACGAACAAACAATTGAGCAAAAAAATGGACACCAGCAAGCACGCTTGTCCTCAATTTCAAGAACCTCATTTCATATGGCGACCTACATGAAGTTCTTGGTGGTGCAAAAAAAGAATTCAAGACACCACAAATGACGTAAGGATAAAAATGGCGTTAATACATGCCCCTTTTTTTCAGTGACAACAACTGTGGTCCGCATTTAGCAGTGCCGTGTTCTCAAAGGTCAAGTTGCCATTGTTGAGCGAAGATTTTGCAATATGTATTTTTGAACAGGCGATACTAGAATGACGAAATTTGATTTGGTACGCGAGAATGGCAACGGTGATTGATGGATCACCAGTACACCCTTTTCCCATGAAGATAAATAAGCTAATTCGTCATTTTCAACTGCAGAAGGAATATCACGCTTAAAGTATTACACACAACAAATATGAGGAATATGTTAACGGCATAGAAACACCACAGATTGGATATCATACTAATTCATGTAAAATTGAAGATAAAAGAATATTTTAGGTTGAGTGTACTATAAAAATAAACATTACCCCACACTGTATTTAATAAATATACCACCACTTTGTATTTAAGAAATATACAAATTTATACACTTATTAATATTTAAAATTTTGATAAATCTAATATATACAATTAAGGAAATGTTTATATTGATTTTAATGCGTTTATAAATGAGGCCTACTTGCGTTTAATTTTTAACAATAAACAACCGTTTATTTATTTATTTTTTTTAAGCTCAAAAGGGTAATTTGCAAAGAAAAGCTATTAAGTTACTTTTGGCATTTTGCATTGGTTCACCATAAACGGCGTTTCACTTTTGAAATTGTTGCCACCAAATATTACAGCCCTGCATTATATTTTAAGGAAATTAAATAATGAAGAATCTACATGAATGTATGCATGTTTCTCGCACTGTAAAAAAACAGCAGTACCTAAAGACATCCAATTTTGAATAACGTAGTCCTCCACTTGAATGTCGGCTTCTAGATGCCCAAATTTGGAATTTGTTCTACTCTCTATTTCATATTTTGTAAAACTTTAACGAATTTCTGATAAACAAACTCAACGATTTCGAAAACAGCAATGGCAACACTGTACGGAAAAAAACATTTTTTATCTCCAGCGCGAGAGATTGTCTATCAGAAATTCTAAAGATATGCTGTTTTTAAATATTTTTAGCCCAAAGGGATATTAGCCCAAATGCTCTCGAAACGTATATGTATGTGTGTAAATGGAAAAAATCGCTCTTTTGGTCGTAATATAAAACCTGAAAGTTTTCAGATTCCCTCCCCCCAAATGAAAATGTTTAATATTTATGCTATGTATGGAACTCCAAAAATGTCGAAGATGTTCTAGAAATCGATATTATTTCAAAATAATCATGCTCAGCACTTTATAGTCTGGTACACAGGCAATAACAATAATATATCTGGTATAGTCAGGCAATTATGATAATTACAATCTGGTAGAATCAGACAATGACAATAACTATAGTCTGGCACACAGGCAATAACAATAATATAGTCTAGTATAGTCAGGCAATTATGATAATTACAGTCTGGTAGAGTCAGGCAATGAAAATAACCATAATCTAGTACACAGACGAACAAAGCAGTCTTTTAGTTTAGCGAATCTTTATTTAATAATTTTCATAATTTTTCTTACAAATTATGCGCCAAAATTCTGTACTTTATCCCACCATAAGAAATCGTCAAAAAAAATTTAAGACTTTTCCATTTTAAAATTTTTTTGTGAATATAAGTTAATTTATTAATTATATTTCAACATATCAGCGATTGTTTTAAAGGATGTGGTTAAACAATTGCTGACAATCCTTGTGGCCTCTCAATTTATTTTAAAATATAAAAAGTTAAATTCGTATAATTGTTTTACACTATTAGTTTAGCAATATTGATCTTGTTTAGTCTTGGGGAAATTTTAACAATATTGGCAAATAATACTGATTAATATTTTTGGCATTTAACTGCAAGTTAAAAGCACAACAGAACGATCTTGGTTCATTATTTAATTTACACCATTCACTCACATTAAAAGATAATTAAGATGCTTTATGAAAGATAATAAATTTATGCGTACAGTTATAAAGAATACAAAGGACTAATGCATTTAGTTTTAAAAAAAATTCCACCACATTTTATCACAATGCACGAAAGGCAACATCTAAAGTCCGAACTGAAACACATTAAGAATAACAAGCGATAAATAAAGGAGGAATAAAAAGATTTCGAATCTGGCAACGGTCATCGGCAGCGAACAAAGCGCTGGGGTGGAAAGAAGCCGACGTCGTAATGCTAACAATTGTCTTTAATTGAGAAGTCTGCTGCCACTAATTAGGATTGCTAGAAAGCAGCCCCAACTGCAAACACAACGAAGTTGTGCTTAAATTGTTCTTTCCTCTCTGGACCGCCCACGCATTTAGAATGCGTACGGCAGGGGAATTGGCAATTTTTCCCTTCCCCCTCATTTTCCTTTTTTTTATGTGGGTTTTCAATAGGCGGGTGTAGCAAACGATATTTAAAAATAAATAAATCATTAGAATTTGTTATCTCGCTGAAGGCAATTATATTTATTACTCAGATGAAAGCAG